CACTCGTTATATCTCATAGTATCGAGACTTCTCCCTCCAAGCGCGACGTTCCTAATTCCTCTTGTAATCTTCTCTCCATGATGATGGTCTAGCAAGCACCCTAGTCCACAACAGGGATCATCGATTACTATTTGCCGTCGGTGAGCCGATCTACGGCCCCCATCCATTGTTGCATCTTCCGTCTACTTTCGGCAGTAACACCCTTCATTCTTGTCCGTTGTATTATTCTTATCATCATGTTGGGGATGCTGTCGCGATGTTAAATTGCGAACATTCTTTTCTCAATCTCTTTCGCTGTGGCAGATTCAAGGTCTTCCAATGATTTGGTGCGTGACTATGTCTCAGTCGTACAACATGGTCGGCAGACGATAGAATTCAAAAGGTGAGTGCAGGTTTCTTTCTTAATTTTGCCGAGGAGAACGTCCTTGATTGAATGGACTTCGCGCTAGCTGGCCCTCTTTCTCCACTATCTCCCACGTGATCATGCTACTTGTTGATCTCGTGATCCAGGTAAATATATTTTTCAGTTTCGATATTTTTACCGATTAGCATTACCTGGGCCTTCGGCTGGGTTTCTGGAAACACTATATTCGTCTTTGACAGACTGATTCATAGTCTGACTTCTGCACTGTTTAAAGAATTGTTAGTCAGCAGAAATTTGGCTACTAAACTGTTTGTTAGCCTTTGGTTGTTGACTCATTATCCCAGTCCCTTTCACTGCGTACGGTTGCGAATTTAATTTTAGATATATGTTCTTTATATTTAAATGATGTCTTACAGTTAAGTTTTTTAGTATCTTTCTTATTTACTACAGTATTTATCGTAACTGAATTTTTTCTTGCAGCATATGTCATAATATTACATTCGTTTCTGTTTGTCATTTGTCTCAAACATACGAAATGGAATCGTTTTTGAAAACGGTGCAACATGCTTTTTTGCTACTCGTTGCTGCCTTCATTTCTGAATTGATCATCGTGTTTTTACGTTTAGCTACTTATGAGTGAATCAAAATTACTTTAGTCTTGTATTTAGATCCAAATTCTGTACCGTCTGCCTGGATACCGTATCGTTATATACGGTTGAACTTTACGGCAAGCCAAGCAACCCATCTAACCTCGCGCTTATTCAAGAATTTGAACTGATCGAAACAAAGCTTGAAAGGTGTTTGGCAAGTTTAGTAAAACAGTGAAAATGTGTAGGAATTAGTGATTAATTGTATAATAAATTTTGTCATTGATGGCTTCAAGAAGTTTTCACTATTCTTATTATTGCTTATCATAAAATATTCTTTAATTAGGGCCATCTGACGTTTCAAACGAAGCTCAGTCCATCTTCAGAGTTATAATGAGTATGGCAAGTAATGTTTTCATGCGGGTCTGGTTGACTCGTGTGATTAATGGCACTGCGTTTATTACTGTTCGTAAGTGACCGGTCTGTTTGTCGCCGTCGTGACGACGGATCAATGACGCTTCCTTGACTTTGTTGGGAAGATATTGTTGTTCGCGCGCGACACCTTTCGTTCTGTCTCACGATATTTTATGTTGATGAGCTACGGCGTATTCCACGATGGCAGAATTCTTTTTGCTCTGGACGTCTTTGATGTATCAGTGCAGAAACTGGAGAAGTATTCATCGATTTTGTCAAACGAGCACTCTTATATTAAGTTTCTTCTTACCATTAAAACCGTTTTACACCTACTGGATTGCGGCTAAAAGGAACTAGTTTCCATTCTGTTTCGGATCATCGTCTAGCAGATGACTTCAAGTCGAAGTTTGCATGAAGAGTAATATCTTATCACAGACTCAGATTGTCGGACATAATATCAGACATGGAGAAATTGCTACAAGAATTGTCGCCCTTTCTCTACGAGGTTCGGAATAACAAGAAGTTGTTCACCATTACCAACTCATGGCCGACTTGCAAAGATACCAAAAAGCTGTACTTCGCGAAATAAATTCGCTGTGCTGTTTGTAAAGTGCACTTTAAGTTTTGCAATTCGCGCGATAAATCGTCTTCCCACAACCATGTAGTGAACTTGAGCGGCGAGAACTTAACAGAAGAGCAGAAGTCGGTTCTCACCAAAGGTCTGAATTTTGCTTTTGCTCAGTATGAAGTGTGAGTTCTCGAAATTTCAATATCGACTGAACGGACTATCTGAAAAGTCGCCTTTCAACTATCCGAGACTGCCAAATTAGCTGCTGTCGAACTTGAAAAATATCATATGACTAGATCCACTCGAAGTAGGTCTGAATAAACTGCATTAAAATAATTGGAGAATGATGACAACATTGCCATGAAAGCAGATAAAGGAAATGCAACCGTGGTTATGGATAAAAAGAGGTATCTACCTGAACTGAACTACTTAACAACGGCAATGGCCTGCTAGATGAAGATTCAATAAAACGATTGATAGATTTCCTGAAAAAGGTGATTATAACTATGGAATTGAAGGACGAAGTGTGCGCTGACCAAGCAATGGGAATATTATTGAAACTTCGGTACAAGTGCAATTGGTCTCCTCCTGAACCGTACTGCTTGCGAAAGATCCGCAAGCCGAATATTCCTATGCGACCTATTGTTGCATCATCGTCTTGCATTTCGGTTTTTGTTGCACGACTGCTTCGCCTTACCATTCAGTCGTACACGGTAAGTTGAAATCATATTTGAAAGTTTCAGAAAAGTTCGTCGAAAAGATTTTCTCAAGAATGAAAGACAACGATGAAATTATGGTGAGCTACGACGTAAAGGTTCTCTTCAGCAGCATCTTTCGAAATTGTAATTGACCTAGTCGAAGAACAACTGACAAAATACCTTGTCTTTAAGAACAAAACACCTTTCTCCTTAACTTCGATTTTTAACCTGTTCAGAATATGTCTCATAGGTTTCAACTATTTTCAGTTCAATGGTCAATTATATCGTGGGTACAATGGAATCCATATGGGATTGCTTTTGCCCCCTGTTCTGGTTGACATGTTTATGAAACTAATGGAATTTATAATACTTGGCCTTCACTACGGGCGACAGAGGTGCTGTCCAACCTTTCTGAAAGATATGTTGATTACATATTTGCCATATGTAAAAATGGAACTGAAACGTCGTTTTTTAAACATCTGAACAGCCTATTCCCAAGCCTCATTGTTTTCACTAAGGAGAAAGAAGAAAACGTCACCCTACCCTTCTTGCATTCTACCCTGTGCAACCAAGACACCACCGGCAGGGATATTTGACCACGGTTTTTCGCAAGAAGATGCCCACTGATAAGTATCTACCTCATTCTTATCATCCAGATTGCGTAAAGAAAGGTGTCGTCAACAAACTTCTCCAAAGAGGCCGGAAGATATGCGCAACAGATGATGATTTTCGCCAAGAACTAAATCACATCAGATTGACGTTAAAAAGAGACCGGTTATCCAATGAAGACTTTTAACGAAGGCTTGGCAAGTTTATCAAAACAAAGGGTGTCTCGCCGTTCACCTGATAACAACATCCACATTTCCTTGCCATACGTTCGGCGGCTGAGTGAAAAGCTGCGACGCATTGGATCTGCTTCCGGACTCAACGTGGTATTCAAAACTGGTGCTACTCTACGTAGCCGACTAAGCTACCTAAAGACCCAGAAACCTAAGGAGCAGGAAGCAGGCTGGGTGTACCAACTCCCGTGCATCTGTGGTGCGGTTTACATAGGCGAAACGGGTAGTACTGTTGAAGAAAAGAAGACAGACCACATGAGGAATTTGACCAGGTGGAAGAACGTTGATGCTAGAGAAAGGGGTCAATAGCAGGTCGGCAGAGATCGGAGACAGACGAAGGACCCTTGGGTTGTAAAGGCAGAATGCGAGAAAAATTCTGCCATTGTGGAACATACCCATCAACACAACATATCGTTGGACAGAATGAAAGGTGTCGCGCGGGAACAACAATATCTGTCCCTCAAAGTCAAGGAGGCGTTATTGATCCAGGCAACCAAATGCATCAATCGTGACCCTTGGACAGACGTCGGCGGCACAAGGACCGAGAACATCAAGCGGTAGCTTAAGACCAGAAAGCAAACGCGGATTATTAATCATGTGAGTCAACCAGATCCACAGAAAGAGATTACGTGCCTTTCTCATTGTACTCTGAAGACGGACCGAGCTTGGCACAAAACGTAAGACGTTCCTGATTAAAGATTATTTTATGCATTGTCTTCCCGCCTGTAGCATCCCAAAGCATCATAATCTTGTACTCTATTGAATATATTCCAGTACAATTAAATTTTACGTCGAGGGTTAGTTGCAGGCCCGGTGTGCGCATTCTTCACCAAAGAATTAGTGTGAATTTAATCGGACCAGTCACTTATTGAATCTGATAGGTTGGAACAAGGTTCTGGAATGAAAGCATATGATTTGTGTTGCAGACCGCACATCGCAATTAAATGCGGATTAAGCGACGTTGTGGTGTCCAATTTTGTTGCTGAATGCTTTCGAACCATTTCAGCAAATCACCTTGATCATTTTTACTGCACGTATGTAGCATCATTTTATTCGCTATAGTAATTTGCTTACCACAGAGAAAATTATCGACTCATCAAAAACAAGGAATGATACGAAAATAAACTTTGTATCGCAGTTATCTATTACATGCATATCATCTATATCGACAAAATGATTTCTTCTGATTTTACTGCATTACTGTAAGGTCATGATGAAATTTTTAAGTATAAGTTCTTTGTTGGTGTCTACTATACTGTTTCTCAGTTGTGTGATCCTTCAGGGTGTGAGTTATTTAGTGCCTCGAAACAGTACGTTGTCATCTTGAGAACAGGCACTCTCCATGCGACCCGAAGGAGCGGTGTTCTTATTGACCCTTGGTACTTATCGAGACGTTTGCTTGGCTTATCTGATTTCGCAAATGGTTGAAATGTTCTTTTTATCGCCAGCCGTATGTTCCTTTCTGCGGTCTGACATGAACCAGTTGCAAGCTAATCCTCGTGCCAGGCTTGGTTTACGATTTTCTCGTAAGCGCAGCCCAATTGCAGACTGAATCTGAGCATTTTAAGCATGGTTTTACCATCACAGCTAATCAAAGAGCACGGTGAAGCTTTCTTGCAATAAACAATGAGTTATTAAGCCTCATCAGATGTGAAGCCGATTTACGTAATTTCTCAGAGCATGTGCTTTACTGAGGAAATAGCCCGACTGTCTCATGGGTTAACTGTGGAAGAGTGGAGAATGTGAAGCCATAAGAGCGACGATAGATGTCTGCAGTAGAAACACAGAACTCTGTCTAAGATTGCATCTAAGTCTTTGAACTTGTTCGGTAAAAAGCGGACTTTCAAAAATGCAATGCACATTTAACTTCTGCATTGAAGGTATATTTAAGATTTCATATGAGCCCGGTGATGTGTCTTAAATACAACTTCACAAATGTAGCTATTTGTCAGTTGCAATGTGTGTCTGAGGTGCTAGTTTTGAAGATTTGCAAGTGTTTTCATTGATCCAAGCATACAAACTTCTTTGGTTACCTAATTGATGAGGAGACGAACAGAAATCTATAACTTATCAGACTTATTAAAGTTAAATATACTATTGAAGTAAAACATTAAGAAATTCGTTTTACAGCCGTGGCAGAAAATGCGATATTGA